GTCCTGAACCATAGCAAACCACCGGCTAGAGGCTCGGCCCATTGGGGGGTCCTAGCGGACCACATGAGGGACATCAGGCTAATCATGGCCATGCCAGAGGGGCGACGGTCTTTACATGGAGTGCTTCATTGGAGTGCTTCTGGAGGTTTCCGCCGTGGTGTCCTTGTGCAGTGCACCCAGAGGGCGGATGTTCTGACAATTTGAAGAAAGAGTTCTGGTGCAGGTCAGCTGTAGATTCTAGACTTACTGTTGTAGGAGTCGTCGTGTCAAGCGCTGGAGAAGGACCAGTGCTTCGAGCCGGATCGGCTGGCCATAGCTTCGGAGTTCGGAGCAGTAGCTTTATTGCCACCGGTGCTGGCGCAGCAACTGCAGCAAAGCACAAACCTTAGGACGCACAACGGACGCCAGAAGATTCATTGGCAACCATGCGCGTTCCTTAGGCAAGGACAGTGCGCTTGTCAAAGCTGCGACGAAGGCGACCGCTGGGTGCGGGATGGATTAAGGTGTGCATTTGTAATGCACGTACCCGCAGGTCGCTTCGGTTTGGAATGGCCATGACCCACGCCTACTACAGAAGGCTAATTAGGAGGTTTCCAAGCTAAGGGCTTTAGGAATTTGGGATTCTTCAATTAAGAAAAGCAGGCCACAGTCTTAACAACCAGCGTTTGTGGACCCAATTTCGAAGCCGAGCCTGTTCAAGCCGTCCTTTAAAGAGAGAGGCAGAGAGAGACAGAGACGGAAGGCTGGTTTGAGGACTTTCGTGGCGGATCCTGAGCTGCAGCAGGTGCCCGGATAGGTCATTGTCTCTTTTTTCTTGTTGTCCATCGCTCAACTTTAACTTTTGGTTGATTCAGGTTGATCTATGTGCCAGCCAAGTGAGGATGTTGCACCACGAGTTCTATAAGTTTGAACCTTTCATTCTTGTTGAAGATTTCGGCGACGACAAGCTGAGAAGATCGATTCACACACTCCAAAAGCAAATTCAGGTCAAGCAGATGGGAGGCGCATGTCACAAGTGTCGTAAGCCAGATTCGATGTAGCCATCCAGGTTTCGTGCGATCACGCTGTTCGTACTGGCACATGCCCTCACGCCTGGTTTTTGCCGAACCCACGTTTCTTTCGTCGAGGCTTGAAGCTCGTGGGACCTTAAATTTCCCAAGTTGGGGCCCCCCTCCTCCTTCGTCCCAGCGCTGCTTGCATGGGGATGAAAAATCACAAAACCAGAATCACAATGGAATAGGCTGGAACTCCAGGGGGACGGAATTGAAAGGACAAAAAAAACGAAAATGCAAATGCCAACAATCAAGTTAGCACCGGCGAAGTCCCCAAATAGTATGTATGCAAGGATATCGGAGCGAAGTTAGAACACGAGCTTCAGCTTTGGTGCCCTTGCAAATGGATCGAACTCACAAAATTCACGCGCTCAAAGCATAGCACTTGGTTTTAATCCACGCGCCATACCGCAGGGGGTGTCTGACCTTGCCTATCTCACTCAGCCAGGTGAAGCTTTATGGTCCCGCCCCACCTTGCAGCAATCCGAACCCGCAAGCAGGGCCCCACCCACATCCAAACAAGCCACATGCCGCCCATCCAAACCTGCAGGACCCCAGCTCCCGACTCCTCCAGCCATCCAGCCAGGTGTTAAATCCTTTTTTGAGGACAGGACCTCAGCAGGTTCCTGTTTGGGGAGATACAGTGAACATGAAAACGTGAGGAAGCAAGCGAAGTGAACATGACAAATGAAAAAGATAGGCTAAATTCCTATGGGCCCGGTCATTGCAATTTACGGTTCCGCAGCAAAGACACATGTGCCCGCTATTTTTTTTTGCCTTCCGCGGAAAGTCAAGCACATTCGCACTCACGGTCTTGGTTCCAGGTGGTTTGGAGATCCCGATACATGTCTGTAAAGAAATGTCAACAACGCTTCGCGACCCGCCTGGGCCGGGTGCGGCCGTCGGCAGTCAAACTATTGCATGCGTTAGCACCGTTAGCAGACGAAGGGGTATGGAAGATTATGGAGGTGGCGGGGCATAAACCCGATTTTGTGGGTGACCGTCCCCTATGGTCGGCCCCGACTGCACGGTCCGCTCCCGGATGCCGTCTCCTGTTTTTCATTTTTGATGTCATCTTCTGGGCCCGCGGGAGTTGTCGTGTTTCACGTTTCATGTTGCGCCCCCCCCCCCCCCCCGCCCCCTCGCCCCCCCCTCCCCCCACAAACAAATACAACCAAGTTTTCACAGTTGTTCAAGGTGTTTTTGTGGTACTTTCAAAAACAATCGGCTCTCGCATAGGAATGAAGTATCACAAACTTGGGCCCTGAATAAACACCAGTTCATGCACTCCCGAAACTTCTTGCAGCGTGACCCAAATCTCCATCATTGCAAGAAGCGACTCCCGCTTGTCCTCCCAGAGCAACGGCAACGCCTTCGCCCCGCCGCCGCGCGGCGCGGAGGGCTACGTTGAGACCCTCTTGGAGAAGGCTCACAGACTCACAGATTGTTTGTTGTTTTTTTTTTTTCTCAGGGTTTTTTTTCTCTCCGGTTCAGCACCTTCAATCGAGTCAAGAGCTCTCGGAGCCTCTGGCGCCGGGACCTTTTCCAGAAGCGCAGGTCTTGGAGAAACATCGGGCGGACCTCATCGTGCTCATGGACGACTTCGGTAGGACTCTCTGGGATTTCTCCCTAGCAGAACTTCGTAAGTTTCCAAGACAGAGTTGCAAGTTGCAAGCTGTTAGGGATGTCAGAGAAGGAGGAGTGTTTCATGTGTTTCGCATGCACCTCAGCCCTCGCTGTTTCCAGCGCTGTCTTGCCTGGAGCTTGCGAACCACCCAAGCATTCCCAAAGCGCGCCCCCCTGTGACCAAAAGCTCCCGAAGCCCACCGAAGATTCCCCCCCCTCCCCCTCCCCGCAAAGCCCTACAAAGCGCTCTAAGCTTCTGTAGCCTATAGTTGCCAAGACTACTGTTGTAGGACCTAGGACTGTGACGAGGTCTCTGCTTGTTGCCTCCTTCCTTCCGGCAGCGCTGGGCTGGCAAGTCTGGAGCCCACAACAGAGAGAGAGATAGTAGAAGAAGAAGAAGAGTCTACAGAGAGCACTCGGCTGAGAAAAAAGGGGAGAGGCTGAGTACATCTGAGTACTTTCAGTTTTAATTTTCTCATTCCAATTCAGTCCGAGAGAATTTGTGTTTAACGCCGCAGCAGAGGCTCCTGTCCGTCCGCGCATCGCTTCTGCCCACATCCAGGGATCAGGCTGCGTGCATTCGGGGGAGTGCCTTGCTTCTCAGAGTGCAGGTTCGGAGATGCATTAAACACATATAAATACACGAAACGCATGCCTCTACACCAATGAGAGAGGATCCCATCGAGTCGGCTCTGGAGATGGGGGCTTGCGCCGGGGTTGCCCAGTTTCCGCTTCTATGATCGAAGCTTAAGGGCCTTTGCGTGTGGGAGTGTTCTTGTTTTTGTTTGGGGGGAGGGGGGGCTTGAACCCAAAGCAGCGATATTGATGTAGGAGCATGTAGAGGGGCATTCACATGCTATGCTGAGGTGTTAAAGGTGCCAACGTTTCTGAGTTTTCTTATTCGATTGAGCAACTCATAAGACTGGACAAGGTTAATCACAACCTTAAAACCCTCCTTCGAATCAATCCTATTCTTCCTCTCAACCAGTGTAAAGGTCACTGGCTGCACGGTCTTCCAGCCTACCGCCGACCTCTTGGGCGAGGGTGAGATCATGCTACAGGAGCTCCGAATCGTGGTGAGCCAAGTAGAACATATGAGAACTCTCGGTAGCCGCAGCCAAGTTGGGGGGGCAAAGTTCCTAGACTTTCTGTGTTCCAGCGTCTGGTGCTACCTGGGAAGGAGACAGCTCGTGTCCTGGACACTGACACCCCAGACAGTCTGCATGAGCTTGGGGCCCCAGACCTGTGCAAAATTTGCAAAGTCTCTCTTACCTACGATAGCTCCGCGCACGATTGTACAAAGGTCTGTGACGCGGCTGTACGCCATAAAACGTGTCCGTGAGTCAGATCATTCTTCCAGACTCGAAATCGAAAAATCAGCATGAGCCCTCTCCTGCTTTATCCACCAGTCCAAATCCAAAGGCAGGGGTTTGGGACATGGCAGTCTTTCTTGCACAGGGGGGCTTGACACCCCTCTGAGAGTGGTACGGTTCTTTGGTGCTGCGGGGTACAGTTCTTTGAAGGCGCATCGTCGCCGAGGCGGAGAGCAAGGCCTGGACAGCTAAAAGGGCTCTCAACAAATCAAATCAGTTGCGCGTGCTTGGCCAACATTGGAGTGCAGCTCTCAGGAGCAGAAAAGCAGAGTTGGTTGGTTTCTGAGGTTGAATAGGCTACCAACAAGGTGATGTTAAGATTTCCCACACGGGGATGGGTGTTTTCCGTTTGCGAGCCGCAGAGGCCTTGCCGGAGGCAGTGCGGCTCGTGGCGTCGGGCAAGTACAAGAGCCGAAGGCACGGGTGAGCTGGGAGGGGGGCAGGGCGCGTGAACATCGGGGGGTTTTGCAGCGGCTTGAGCACCTTGAGAGCGCTTGCGAGGGGCTTTGGGGTACCTTTATGGAGTATGGGCTTTGGTGGTCTCCATCCAGATTCTCCGGGTTCTCTGGGGCAATCTCGCAGACTTGACGTGAGTCTCGGCACTTCGGAGTTTTTGCAATTCTACGGCACCATGAGAATGATGAGACCAGTACGAGACCTGTTCGAAGACTCGCAACGCATCCGAGCTAACGCAGAGATGAGATCTTTTGCATGAGTGTGTGGCATTGCGGTGCCCTGAGAACCCGCTGTGCAGGTCTACACCGCCGGATGCCACGGCACGCGCCCCAACAACAAGGGCGCAAGGAACCCTGTAATAAGTGTTTTTCATTGCAGGCATCTTGTACGTGAGCGGTCACTCTATGCGGCTTTGGTTCCTTCCGCAAGAATCCAACGGATCACCCAGAGGCCCTGAAGACTGTGTCAGACTGTGTCACTGTGTCTCAAGGCCATGGAGACCTCGCTTCCCACGCCTTCGATGCCCTCGAGCGCCAAGATGGCGGGTCTGGGCCGCGGAAGTGGCGGCACGCTCCCTGTAGGACCGAGCTCGATGAGATAAAGGTTGTATAACGCGTTGACTCCGGCTGAATTCCCAAAAGCCTAGCAAGGAATCCCTCCCAAGGCACCGTGCAGACCATGCAAACATCCGCACGAAGTGGATGCCCATGCCAGATAACGCTCTGGATCGCAAGTGAAAGCACATGAAAGCGCAGCCAAACAGCAACTTGAAGAGTGGACCTGAAGGTGATGCCAAGCGCTACGAGCAAAGAGGCGTCTCTGCAGACAAGGGCGATGTCCATGCTGCCTGGGGCTCAGTCGCCCGCCTCACTGCCGACCCTCTGGAGACTGCCGGAGCGGACACTTCTTTCTAAATGAATGTCTGATCAGGCGGAATCTTGCATGATGCATCATGAGGCTTATTAATGAAAGATGGGTGTGGCTTGCGCGGTTCCCCAAGCTAACTCCAACCCCCAAGTGACAACCCCTAACCCTTGAAGATACCCCCGGATGCTCCTTGCTGCAGCGCAAGCGCAGGCCATCAAGAACATGGACAAGGGCCTCTTCCCGCGCGCCTTCTGCAAGGCATTGACAACCCCCCCCCCTGCTTGAGTGCCTTCTGGACGACTACAGAAAACGCCAACGCACCAGCACAGCATGTACATGAAGATGTACACAAAAGTACCAAAGCGGAACCCAGCAGCTCACTATAATACCAGACCTCATCGTTCTCGCAGGTGGTTCCAGATTTTATCTCCCGGGATCCGACACAAGCGATCGCGCTGCTCTCAGCCGGATTTGGAATTGCTTTCAACGCCGTTTCGAACTTAGGAAGGTCAAAGGTCGCAACTTGAAAGCTGCACGGGGCATGTCGTTTACAAATACGATGGTCCCTTGCAGGGCATGCTGAGTTAGGATTTCGACTTCGGACCCCGTTGGGACCCTAACATTCTACATCCCTGAAGTCTCCAGATGATCCCAGCTTGCTGCCCTTTTCAATACGTAAGTCCGTGAGGGGACAACAGGGAAAGAGAAGGCTTTTTTCGGCGGAGTTCATGTGCCGTCATGCGCCGTCCTGTCTTCTCTCCTGCAGCGGCCCCGAAGGTGATGCACGCCGACGGCGCAGGCACCAAGTCCTCCCTGGCGTACATCTACTGGAAGAAGACGGGGGACATCTCCGTGTGGAGGCCCAGGTGAGCAATGGTGAGCAATGGTGAGCAGGGCTGAGCAGGACCCAGTTCAGTCACCATCCCGGGCTATAGGGTCTCCTCGTCGTTGTTCATCGTTTTCTCGGCATGTTCGGCAGAGCGAGTTGTGTCGAAGGGCTTCTGGCAGCTTTCGGCTTCAGGCGTGTGCTTTTGTGGGGCTTGGGCAGTGTATGGAACCCTTTTCCTCTGTGCTCAAAGCCCTCGACAAGGGCCGGAAGCCTTCGGGACGTCTGAGGTATGGAAAGGAATCGCGCAGGATGCCTTGGTTATGAACCTGGACGACCTGCCACGGCCCTGATTAAAGCAACTTTCTAGGGGTACCGCACAGTACATGTTTCTTCAACTGCCTTTGGAACTTTTTGCTTCAGTTGGTGTCTACTGACATTTCCTACATTTTTCCTTTAGCGCTTCGACAGTTTTGTCCCAAGCCTTGAAAGTTGCTCAGGCTGTGTGTCGGCATCACCGACAACATCCTTTTGTCCAGTGCCCGATGAGGGCTTCATATTTTTTTTATCACAAATTCATAAGTAATCCTCGCATAGCGCCCCCCGCTGCAACAGATGGTCCATGCTGGGGCCTTATCGGGGGCTCTATCGGGGGCCTTATTTATATGAGTCTGATAGGACATTCTATCGATGTGAACTATGTGCGTCTGAGGTGGTACGTGGGTGGGATAAGGTGCTACGGTTTTACCATGCTGTCTGTGGGTGGTCCATGGAGTCCCAGACCCAGTCCATCGGCAATAAGAAGCTGTTGTGGTTCAAGAGTTCATACGAATCATACGATGTCTGCTTTTCTTCGGACACCCCGCTGGTACGCCCTGAAGAATCGTTTGATGCCGTTAGCCTAGTCTCGTCAAAAGCTGCAGAAGCTGCACCACGCTGCAAACCAGGTACCATCGGGCGAAACAAGAACCTCATCCCAAGAGAGGCGCCTCGGAGGCTTCGTTTCAGGCGAATTTTCAACATTCAGCCCTCCTGCACCCGCCTGCACCCGCTCGCCATTAAATAACCCTGCACCCTTCAGCGTGAGCACAACTAGCACGAAGGTCGTTGCTGCAGTCATCGGTGGCACTGCTGCCCTGGTGGATGAGCTGAACAGACATGGCGCAGGGCACCCGGACAAAGAAGAATTGGAATGTGGGGGGGGCTGATGGGCCTGCAACGATTATGGAGACATGGAAATCATGGAAATGGGGCAGGGATGGCCGGATGGCCCGCAGGGATGGCCGCTTCGCGTGTTCCGCTGAGGTCGGCATCATCCTCACGGGTGGTGAGACGGCCGATGTGGGCGATCTGGTGCTTCGGGCTGAAGCTTTGTGAATCTGTAAAAGCATCCTTCTGAAGGAACCAGAAAGTACATTAAAGGTTCACCAAAGTACACTATAGACTATAGAGCATTTTCATTCCATCCGGAAAACACGCCGAGTGCTGAGCATTTCCCCGACTCCATTGCAGATATAGCTGCGCCTGCGATTCTTCGCGAAGGTGCGAACCATCATCGTGGACTCCACGGTGGCAGCGCAGGTGGGCCCTGTGCGCAGTGTGCACTGTGGGGCTTTCTCCGGCGTCCCTGAGAAAGAGCACGCTGCAGTGGCGGTGGCTTTTACGGGGACCGAGCAGCGGCTAATTACGACACCACGACATTCTTTCGATGTTTCGATATGCTCAGCACAGAACTGTGGCCAGGTTCCCAGAAGCGAGGTCATCGACAATGCCAACATCCGCACGGGGGCTCAGAGATAACAAAGCCTGCCCCAGCTGCGCTGTAGTGCCGCCTTGTTTGCTCGAGCTGCAGCAGCTGCCGTGAACGCTACAAGCGGTGCGCGGATCCTGTTTTTCTCGAGCCGAGGTGCAGGCGACGTGATCGTTGCGTTGTCATCCTCGGGCAGTCCGGCGCCAAGCACAGGGGTTGGGTGCTGGCTGATGCAGAGTCCAGGGCCGATCGTTCCCCATGCGCTGACTCTTGACACCGCTCTGACAGCCATTGCAGGGGAAATTGTGAGGGTGTCACTGCGTGCACTTAGCCTTCAGCCAGGAGCCAGCTACGAGGACTGCTACAACAGCGGCATCGGAAGTCCCATGGCAGAATCCCAGAGCTGGGACTTCATGGTGTTGAGGTTTGTTGAAAGCTCTGGTTGGCGATCTTTAGGTTAAGGGGACATGTCGGAACCCAGGGCGGCAGTTGCTGAAACTCGCCGAATCTGAGAGCCTGAAAAGTGTTCCAAAAGTGTTCCGGATACTCCAAGTGTAAAACTCCCAGCTGAATCTGCGGAGGCAATGGGCTCACAGCAGCCCGGCACGACACCTTCAAGCCGCTCAGACTCACGGGGAGTTCTAAGTCTGTTGCTGCTGCGTCTTTTGTGCCTATAGTTGACAAGGTCAGGCAAGCTCAGAGTCGCTTGTCGCGTCTTCTTTCTTTTGGGTGGGGGGTGGGGGGGGTGTTTGGGACGGGGTTTGGGACGGGGTGTGTGTGTTGTTCGGCTGCGTTTTCATGACGGCTTCTGGATTGACGGCGAAACGACGAGGGACGTCCAGGGTCGTTGCGCCATACAGCGCGTTTTCAGAGGGGTTCGAGAAAGTGTTACAAACCGACCGGCCATAGCCACAGAAGCCACGGAAGCCAGCCACCTTCTCAACTCTTGAGCTGTGCGGGCTGTGCTTTTTTTCAGCATTTCCGAGGAATTCACTGGCGGCCGAATACCCGGAGTCTTTCGACCCAATGATGGCCAAGGTGCCCTCGCTTCTTTTTCGTATGTTTCGTATGTTGTCAGGTTGTGCCGCTTTGCTGCTGGCAATTGGCTAAGGGCCTGGGGGAGCATCAGGAGCACCAGCGCGATTTGGGCACCATGTCATCATGCGCTTGCCCGCCGGATGGCTCATGCGATGCTCATGATGCTCCTCTTGGGCCGACGGCAAGCGCCTGCTTGCCCTGCAACGTGCTGTCCCCAAGAACTGCGCACGATGCCCGAAACTAAACGCACAAAGAAAGGCATTGCAAGCTCGAGATAGTTTTATGTCTCTCTAGGCTGAAGAACTCCCTGCGCACAGGAGCTGGTTTACAGCGGCAAGGTGGGTCCGGACCCTATGCGCAGTGGGGCGGCTATAGGGAAACTCTTCACTGGTCGGTGGCTCGATGCCAGCATGGGAACGGTTCGTATGCACTTGATGAGCCACCAAAAAATGGACTCTCAAGCGCCAGAATGTCACCGCAACCAAAGGCCTAGAGGACCCGATTCAGATCGAGGGCTTCGGGACCATCCCAGCAGGCGCAGCAAATGTGTGCTTTCAGTCGTTGCTTTAGACTTGTTGACTTGCTCAATCTTACTCAGATTTCTGGGGGCGGGGAGGAGACGGGTTGTTGAAGTGTGTTGGCCTTCGCCAGCCAACATGTGCTCTCCAGCTGCAGACACGGTGTCTCAGATTGTCTCACGGCCATCGTCGAGATGCTTTGCCCGAAAAGCAGTTGGAGAGATACAAGCCCTGAACCCAAGCCAAAGCCAAAGAAGTGAAGGCTCCAGCACAATAGCTGCTGAAACTCGCCAAGACAAGCCACGATCTCATGGATGGACGACCAGCGGCCCTAAACGCCCTTCAGGCAAGCTGTTGCTGTCCCCGACAAGAACATACGGCCCCATCGTGCAGAAGATCTTCGCAAGGGCCTCGAGGTTAGTCATGATTGGCCTCAGTAAGGGATAACGGGCGTGACGGATTTTGAAGCCTGTCATACCTGACAGGACTTTCAAGTCAACATGCTGTTTGAAGGGACTTGTGGTGTCCACCCCGCTTAAGAACGGTGTATAAGCTCTCTTTAGTTGTCGGCCATGTCGCCTTGGTCTAGCAAGCTAGCCAAGGCTTAAGGAACTTGCCAAATTGAGCTTCATGATGCTCTGGGCAGGTTGTGGTCTGTAGTCGTTATTGCTTACATATATGCCCATTTTGGGGTGCAGTGTTGCGTGAAGCCATATGGTAACAAGTGTCGATGTCGGCAGGAGAAACCATCGACATCTCACGTGGTCGGATTGCTTTCAAAGTGCTTGGACCCTCCGCCGAGGCTGCAGGCTTGCGGCCACAGATTCACGGCATGGTGCACTGCTCGGGCGGCGCACAGACAAAGGCGCGCGATGGGGACGCGGCCCTAAAGCCTCCATCCTTGCAGCCCCCCGGGGCGCAAGTAGAAGCTTCCAGAATGTTCAAGACGCCCCACCGCTCGCATGGTTGCCCGGAGGTCCTTCACTTCGTGGATGCCGTCCATGTGATTAAGGACTGAGCTCGGCAATGCTTGGCTGCTGCTTGTATGGCTTCGGATTTCTGCCACGAGGGGTGCTATAGGGCTGCTAGGGCCTCTACGTGCAAGACACCAAGCCCACAAACTAGCAGCAATTAGTAACATTCTCAACCCTCCCACAGTCCCCACGCTGGAGGACAACCTGATGAAGACAGCACCGGTCTTCAGCCCTTTGGCCTGCAAAGCCAGGCAAAGCGAAGTCTTCCAATCGCAGGGCCAGGGTTGGGGGACACACTCAAGCGCTTTGAATCGCCTTAGAAACTTCTTTGCAATGCTTCTTCAAGGACAGGTATGAAACAGGGTAGAATATTGGTGAGTGTCGGAGCATCAAAGCCAAGTTGATTTTCGGTTTAAGAGATGTTGGTCTGGCCTGGGCTTCCCCGCTTGCATGCTGGTACCTTCCGCCTTCCGCCCCCTGCCAAGGACTAATTCAGGAGAACTCCGGTACTCCTTGGGAGGAGATGTACAAGGCCGGCTACTGCTTTTGTTCGGGGAGCAAGGCGTTGTGGTCTTCAAACGAAAGGAGAAACTTGAATACGGCTTGAATATGCCATTCAAGATGAGGTGTGCTCAGCCTGTTTTCTCTTTCGCCTAGGTCTTTAACATGGGCCACCGACTCGAGTTCTACACGAACCAGGCGGAAAGGGCCAAGATGATCTCCATCTTGCAGTCTTGGGCGGGTCAGAAGGGGCCATAACACCACTTTCCCTGCATCTTCGAATTCTTTGGGAGTATGCCTCCTGATTTCATGATTCCAGCCATTCCAGGCTTGTTTGTTTTTTAATTACCTAACTTCAGCAAACCCTTCAACAGGGCGCCTTCGAAGTGCCTCTCGTAGGAGGCAAAGGTCAAAGCGCATCGGAAGGAGGAAAGCAAGAGTCTTTGACAAATATCTCGAAACCCCCAAGCCTCAAACCCTTCTTGCCTTAAACTACTGTCTACATGCATAGAGTATACATGTACGTATGCATACATGCATGGATGTATGTCTGGTGTGCATGTGCACAAGCCCAAAAGAGTCAGCACTGTCAAGAGCTCTCTGAGCTATTTACTATTTAGGTGTTGCCCGCTGCATACGCAAACGAACCAAGCTTCATGTAAGCAGACTTCAAAACTCAAAGCCCCCGAATAACCTTGTGGAACCCTTCAGGCCCCTAAGGCCTGCAACCCTTTGCGAGGAGGCGGCAGCGAAGATCATGGACATCTCTCAGTCCTTTGGCGTGTCTGCGCAGGCGGTGGTTGTTGGATATTTTGGCGTGTGTTTCAAGTGGCTGCATGTCCTCTTCAGGGCATGCAAGTGCTACCCGGCCCGAGCTGCGAACGGGGGCCGGAACTCACGGAAGAGCCTCGTTGTCGCTGTGTTTCACGAAGCCTTTTCCGCGAGAGGTTTGGCAAGGTATGCCGAGGTTCGTTGCATCCCGTTAGATATTTTCCCAGTGCTTAAGCCACGCTTGGCCCTTTCTTGGACTTCAGTGTTGAGGGGCTGCGGCCGTGCCAGAATTGTACCCGGTGACAGCCCCTGCTTTCGTACAATTTCAGGATGTATACGGTACATTACGGTACAAGGCTTATAGTTATAGGTGCTGTGAACTTGCCGTGTGGTTCAGACTGGAGGCTTTGCTTTTGCTCTTCAGTTCAAAAAAGCCTGAAACTAAGAACCGCCAAGAAGAAGCCCGAAAAAGGCCAAACGTGCTCAAAGGAGTCCCTTTACGCCTTCCCCAGAATTCTTAAAAAAAAGAATCGGCGCCAGGTGATTGGCCGCGTGGAGGCGCTGGAGCCCGGAAAGCTGGCGGCTCAGAACTCGTTTGGCTGACTTTATGGCTATGCTCACCTGCTAAGTACAATGTTTTTAGAGCCCCTTGCATGTGAACTTCGCAGAATCCTTATGAAGATCTCAGGAGATTGGAGCCATTCGAAGCCTCATCCCCCCCGATTTTCCCTCATCTCCGATACAGCCGCGCCCTGCAGGAAAAAGGTGACGATCAAGTCGGAACACGGAACTTTCGAGTACGGGTCATGAAGGCCCCCCTGCGCCCTCGGCTCAGGGAAGTTGTCAAGCGGGCCTTTGAAAGATCCCAGAGAGCAGAGAGCAGCAGTCCCAAAGCCGCACCCACCAAGTGGCCCAGTTCCAACTTCGCCTCCTTGAGGTCCAGCGCTGATCCCCGTCTTCTCTGAAGAGCACACGGCCCGAGACGGAGCCAACCCTGAATCCCATACATAACGCATCCCGGACTCAGACCGCACCAATATTCACTCAACTTGAACTTCTTGGGCTGGTTGGCTCCGTGCCCCAGGGCCGAATTAACCTAAACCCGGCTGTTTGATTTGCCGAAACTTTTGTGCAAGCAGTTTTTGGTAGTGGAGCTCTCCACATGATCACGTGCCCGTGTTCGAGACAGTTGGCATAGCTTCTTCTTATTCATGGCCTTTGGAGGCCCTTCACGGGGTTGGGGGGGGGGGGGGCGGCACAGCATAGCTGCGCTTCGTGCAGACCTAACGTGGTGCAGCTGATGTCAAGTGATAGCGCATACAATGTTTGGCTGGAGTGGGCTCTCAAGGACTTTTGCTGCAAGGAATCTAGAAGTGCGCGCTGCTCATTGGAAAGCTCCCCTTTCGTTAGGCTGCATCTTCCCATTGTGGCTTGTTTGACACAGGTCACAGGTCACAGTTTCAGTGCTGACTTCCTGCTCGGGGGTTTTGCCGATGAACACAAGGCCTTCAAGCCTAGTTTCAACTTCCCAAGCTAGTTTGTCTTCACCCTATGTGCAGTTTGCACTTCAGACTCATAGCCACATTTCTATACAGTGCTTCATGATCAATAACCCCGCACTTTGGGCAAAGTCACAGGGGAGGAAGTCAACGCGTCCCATTTAGCCCAGGTGTCATGGAGTGACGCTTCTGTGTCCCTGAGCCTTCAATTGTCGGCCAGGGAAGCAGCTGTGCAAAGGAGTTTCAAGGATTTAGGCACATTTTGGTGCACTTTTGGGCGTGCAAAGATCAGAATGTATCACAGCGGTGACTAGGCCGAGGGCCGGGCACCGATTGTTTACATCATAGCTGCCGAAGCAGGCAGATAGGTTTCGGGACCTCAGATCCGCTGCCTACGGGCGGGACTGAGATGAAACTGCCCAGCGCGCTAGTGTGGACATATGTGGACATGCTTCCTACGGAGACCGACTTTCATGGCGTTCAATTCTACTCTGTTAAGGTTCGGCTTCTGAACAACAACTCACAGCCAGGGTGCCTTGAGTAAATTATGAGACTGCAAGTTTCTTATTTCAGGGCCCCTGATGGGGCAGCACCGCATTTGCAGCGGTAGAAGCATTCAGGAGCCCAATGCCCCAAGTCCCAACCAATCCCCTGAAGTTCGAGCTTACAGCAGTAGTCTCAGGTGTCGAGGGTGGAATCCTCACGATAGCCTAAGGTTTCAGCCCTTACCGCCCAACGGTAAGCCGAGTGCATTCACAGTAGCGCGCGGGGTCAGATTTTGAGCGCGGCCTTTGCGATTCGGACTGCAGCCTTCGGTAGTCTCGGTAGGACACCATGGAGCTCTTCTCGTCTGTTCTTTCCAATAAGTTTCCTTTCTCAACGCAGAATGTCTGAATTGCACAGAAAAGGTTTGCTTCACGGTATGAGCCACAAATGTGGCTGCAAGCTAGATACCAAAGTCTCTACAGACCCGCAAGCCCACGACCGTGAAGCAGACTCGTCGACAGAAACACTTTGCACATGCAGATGTTCGCTTCTGCTGCTATATACATAGCACCTCGGTTCGCGACACAAAAAGGTTCGAGCCCTTGCGACGCCTTCGATGCCTTGTGGATTCTGAAGACGACCGGACTTGGAGCCCTCGCTGCCAGATGCTGCCTCAGATGCTTCCTGACCCCTGCAGCGAGTGCAGGACTCCAAAACGACAGCTCGACTTGGGCAGCACTTCGCCGGAGCGTTGTACAGGTACTGTTCCGGATGTGTCTGCAAATTATGACACGGGAGGATGCCAAACATCAGAGTTCGAGTTCGCCAGGAGTTGGGCTCTTGGGATCTTCCTTCTTTTTCTCCGTAAAATACCGAAAGGAAAGTACTGTGTAAACAGGACAAACGCCTTCAGAGCGGTCGGTGGGGGGCCCTTGAACAGGGGAAAAGAAGCCCAAGGTCGCGTTTTTGTTCGCGTCTCCCAGAGAGTGAGAAAATGCCATTGTGGAAATCTCTGTTTTGGTCTGTCTTGGGTCTTGGTCTATTTTTGATGGGGTCATTTGCTTTGTTTCGAGAAAGTGGGGGATCACTCAGGATCTCTGTTTCTTCTGAGCCTTGCGGAAAGAACAGCGCCAAAGCAAAAGTCCCTGCGCAGCCCCGAAAGACGTCCAGAGAGGTTTCTGCCATTGATCCTGTCGCCCTGGTTCATCTTCGGGAGTGGCGGAGTCTTTGCCCTAGCTCTGGCTCTTGGATGTGAAGATGCCGTCCATCTACCCTTGGCCTTCACGCCCCGCGCCCCCCCCCCCCCCCCCCCCGACCCCACATGCAGCAGCTGTTGCTTAGCCCAAGCCGCCATCGGCTTCGAAACACTCTAGATCCCAAAATCTCCCGGCCACCCAGCCTGACTCTTGAGGTGTCCTTGACGGAGCTTATTGCTGCGTCGCCTGACCCTCGGTGTTGATGCATCTTCCGCTCTCTTCAAGACAAGTTTGTGACAACGCAAGAAGGGGGATAGCTTAAGGAAGCTGATGCTGTAGAATCAGAGGAGTCTATTCTCCCCAGCAACCTCGTATTCACTGAGTCCCGCCCGAAGCCACACTACACCCAAAAGCAAACACACGGCACTCTCAGAGCAAAAGGCAAGCGCCCACATGGAAATCCAACCTTCGAGAGAAGCCCACCTTAACCCTGAGCCTCAGATCTGAACAAAGCACAAAGGCAGGGACATCTACCGGATACGATCAAGCTGAAAGATGTCGCGGACTTCGTCGCCGGAGCCTTGGGCCCATGTTTAGGAGCCTGCGGTGAAGTAGCGATATGGTAGCTGGTACGCCCAAGTCGCAGGTCGCTACCCGCATGGGTGGAGCCAACCTCCTGGGGGTGCTGCACTCGCTAGGCACATGGCAGGAATAGGATGGGATGCCTGGGGCTCAAGTTGTCAAGCCCGGGGAATTCAGGATCGGATTCAGGGGCGTTTGGGCAGTTCAAAGTGCTCTCTTGAACGATAGATGTTCCGAACTCCCTACCGACTGTAGCCAAGCTCCATTCAAAGCTCATTGAAAGCTCTCCGCGATATCCCAAACGTTGCCTCCACGTTGCCTC